CATTTGCTTCTATAAAATTTGTTCTCTCTGGCATTACCTTCATTTTTGTCACTGCATAGCATTCTAGAAATCTGTCTCCTCCACCCTTCAACACTCTTGAAACTAAGAACTTACTCTTCAGTAAGTTCAAACACCCCAGACTTAATCAGCTTACTCTTCTTGTGGACAGGACAGTTTATTCAGCAGATTGTAGCATTTATTATGGTTATTCAGGTCACTGTCCTTACTTCTAGGTTTTTGATTCTTTCACTGATTGTGAATGACAGGGGTAAACTCTGGATAAACTTGTGTTCAAAATGCGAAGGATTTTCTAGTATTCCATACAGATGATCTTCCTAGCAATCTCTTCTGTAGGATGAAGTATTTTCAGTAGGTGCCATATGAGTATTACCATTAGCTTGTTATTTTCCTGTTTTCTCATCTCTCCTTTTCATTTCCTTTGTAAGGATATCAATTTCCTTAGCACAGATGCTGTAAAAGACTTACTAACATTTTTTTCAAATTTTCGGTAAGGCAGCAATATTTTCTTCCCACATAGCACAAAACACTGCATCAATATCCAATCTCGGAAAGATATTGCTGGTGGCATTAAAATTGGTACGACAGTTTTGGGAATAAATTTGCCAATATGCAAAAGAACTACAGAAATCATCATTCCTCTGCCTTTGCAATTTCAGTGTAGGAATACATTGTAAGGAAATAATCCAACACATGGAAAAAGCTGTATGTAAGAATAGTCACAATGGTGTTATTTGTAGGAGGAACAGGTTGGAAACAATATAATGTCAATTAACAGGAGAATGGCTAAATAAATTATGGAATATATCTTTTGCTTTTACATGCATGTTATATACAAATAAACATAAAATAAGGATAATTTATCCAGGTATAGTGTGATTGTAACTGTGTAAAACATTGATGTTGAGAATTAAAACTACCTCATACAGATTTTGTCTACCTGAATATGACTCCATATTCCAATGTTCATTAGCATAAGTTTACCAAGAACCTCTTGGTGAGGCACATAAGTTTATTCATAACAGGAACTTTTCAACGGATCCTATTAATTCATCAATAGAAATCATCAACTGATAGCTCATATCCTAAGGCTTTTTGAGCCCCTCAACCCAAAATTCTTGCCTCATTATATCCTTCACACCTGAACACGGGTGCCTGGGTGGCTCAGTCAGTTAAGTGTCTGACTCTTGATTTCAGCCCAGGTCACGATCTCATAGTTTGTGGGATCAAGCTCCAAGTTGGGCTCTGTGCTGACAGTATAGAGACTGCTCAGGATTCTCTCTCTCAAAAATAAACAAACATTAAAAAAAAAAAAAAAACACCCTGAGCAATTATATCATGATATGTATCCAGTCTCAAACAATGCCTGCTCATTGAAAGTCCACCTTAAACAAAACTCCAAAATTTCAGTAAAACCTGATCCTGCCCTTCCCTCCCTGAGACAGAACCAAAGCTCTAATGAGGCAATGCTCTCCCTAGCGGCACTGAGTCTGTCCTGTATTTTTTTATGTTGATGATACTTGGGAAACCACACTCAACAGTGTAGAAAAACTATGCAATAAATACATGTAGAAAGATGAAAGGAAGGTGTAAAAATAACAATAGTCATGTAAGGGAATTGGTATTTAGCCAATTTTCAAGCCTGTTTTAAATGGTATTCTTATATAATGAGGGCAAGGCTTATTTCAATCAATAACAAGGAGTTCATTTTGGTGCAGCCACATTTTAATATGTAAAGATCAAATAAAGGCAAAGCCGTGCAACTTGTTATTCTCTTCCTTGTGTTTTGTAGAACAATCAATAACAATCCAGAGACAAGACTACTTAGGTAGGAAGCAGAGCTATTCATATCGTAATTATGCTTGTGGAATCAAAATACTTATGGGGTCTGTTGTAATGAAAATGATCGAAAATGCTCTAAAATGACTTAGTTAATGTTGAGAAACAATCAGGAGGACATTGACTATGGCCTTTAAATGGTATTTGGTATTTAATGGGACAGAGGCTTTAGACAACAGCTTGCTTAGCACTGAGCTACATAAATGTTGTAACCCTAACACAGCATAGACAGATTTCACAAAATTAAAGCCAGCTTTTATTAACAGCAATCTTGTAGTTGATGGGTTTTGCAGTGTTTGTCAAATGTTTCCCATTTTTTTTAATGAAAATCAGGGAGAAAAGCTGGCCTGTGGATAGAGTTTGTCACAGCTGGCAAAGGTGGCTATTCCTTTGTATGTCTTGCAGTTACCTGTCTTATGTCAAGTTTTCCCATGCAGACAAACTTGGACTTTTTTTTTTTTTTAGAGAGAAAGTAAGAGCACACGTGTGCACAAGTAGGGGAGAGGAGAGGGTCAGGGGGAGAGAGAATCTTAAGTAGGCACCACACTCAGTGCAAAGCCTGATGTGGGGCTCAATCCCACTCCCACGACCCTGGGATCATGACCTGAGCCGAAATCCAAGAGTCAGAAGAAGGATGTTCAACCAACTGAGCCAGTAAGGTGCCTCTGGTTTGATTTTTAAAAATGGCTCTGGATAAGTCAATTAACAGTCTATCACCCAGGTAAATCTCATTTCTCTACTGGTAGTAACCAATACCATTATCTTTTAACTTTTTTTCTCTAACGTATAAATATGCTTTGTAGGGAGAAGTGCATCAAGCAAGGTACAACAACAAAATAGGATCTATCAACAAAGAAGTCCAAAAATTTCACGATATGACAAGAGATTCACAAAGCTTCTATTTCAGGTAAAGATACACTGATGACAGTAATAAGGACAGTTATATTAAGATTAATCAGGTAATTTTATTAAATATTTACCATTCAGCAGCAACCAACATGAACATCTGAGCTAACAGAATCTTTTGAAATGTTCTGCTATATAGCTGCTTCAGAAATACACGCACATGATAAATTGAACTGTTCATTGCCAGAAAAACTTTTTAAAAAAGGGCTTCAAGAGCAAATAACACTGATTTATACTGTGCCCAAGCACTAGTCAACAATCTATTAAATTACAAAGGAAAAGGAAATCAAAGAAGCTTTGTTATCTTATATGCATGTCAACTTATTTAAATGGAAGGCTTTACTTCTTTAAAGCAACAGGAATATGGAGCTTCCTATGTGTGTGTGTGTATGTGTATTTAAGGATGTGATTACAAACACAAAGTGTTATCATCAAGGCAAAAGCTAGTTCCAGAAATTTCCAACTGCAAAACTTGCAAGATACAAAGCTAAAATTCGGATGTTCCTTTTCTCAATTATGAATACTTTCACTAAACATAAATATTTAACATATATTAATTTTTCTGACATTCAAAATTGTAAAGTCAATATGGCAGAATTATTGTTAAAAGCACATATGTACAAATATTCTTTTTCCATACATAAAGTATTTGGCATAATTATAACAATCATACTGCATCCACAACTGTTTGCTTTTATTTTTACTTTTTTTTTTTTACACATAATGGTATCTCTTATTAAAATTAACCAGTTATGTACAAAAATACTTGAACATTTATTATAGAAAACCTCTATAACCAGCCTCAACAGCGTATACCTGCTGAATGGTTTCATTAAGAGAATATAAAAAAGTGGTCACTGCCTTCCAGGTAAGCTATCAACAAAAACAAATGGGGTTAAACTAAAATGAGCTTCCCAACAAAAGAGGGAAAATATTTAACAGTGTGATTTAAAATACAGCTCATATTTATTGAGTGTTATAAACAGTCAGTAAAAGAAAAAAACAAGGCTACAAAATACATTACTAAATACAAGGTGCTTTTTCCACATGTCTGCAACTGGGGCATCAGCATCCCTCCCTAGATCTGAGATGCTGTGTGTCGGTCCTCAAGCCAGCGGGGTCTACAGCCATCTCACCCATCAGCAAAGACAGGATCAGCTAAGAAGACAAGCTCCGGCAGGAGCTTGGAGAGTTGTGAAGAATTTTCTATTTGGTGCAGGATTAAAAGTTAATGCCCTTGCCTTTTGAAAGTCCTTTTGCCATTTAATCATGCTAATATATTTTCTCTAAGGTTTTTTTCTTCATTTACGCTATTGATTTAATACTGTCCTGTATTGATTCCTGAATTCTTGTTAATGGGACACATTAATTTGTGCCCATTTAACACGTGAACATCTGCGCTTCTTCAGTGACAAATATGCTGCAGAGGAAACGATCAAGTAAGGAAGCTTGCGCAAGATTCAAGTAAACATTTCTCCTGGGGTCTTTTGCTTAATCTAGCCGATTGGAACTCTCAAAGTAAATTGCACCTTGAAAAGAAATACAGTAGATACCATGATGTCAGGGTGCTAAAGGATTCACCAACCAATTCACAAGGCAGAGTTTGAAGAAAGCAGACAGTGGTCAATGTCAAAAGCAACCTTAAAGAACTCTTTTGTTTCAAGAACAAAACAACTTGCAGCCCTATTTCTTGCAATCCCTTAAGTGTATTGTCTAATGAGCCTGCTAACTTGTGATTCTGTTGAAGTGCACGGATCAGTCTTCTCATGGAAAGAGCGAGAAACCTCCCCTTATATACAGAAGAAGCCTTCTAAAGTAAGGACCGTCGTGTTAGGATGTGCATCGACTTAATAAGCTTTCTCGGAGTATCAAGTATTCAGTAAAAAGTGTACAACATCACGCGCCCTATTGTTGGACAATCTCGTATTGGTTTTAAGATTAAACTAGATAAAAAAAAAAGGGAACATAAAAAGATACAAAAGAAGTCTTCAGCACTATTTACCACTTCCAAACGAGAAACGTCTTAAGGAAAGTCAGCCATACTCCATGTAACATCCGGCGTTTTAGATCAGTAACTTTTAATATTGTGCAACATATTAATAAGCAGGTTTTAATTCCATTCACTGAAAGACGAATCTGGGTAAGTTATTAAAGTGCCTACACTAAACATCTCCTGGTCCTACCGCCTATGCTCTTGTAAACGGCCGGGCCTCCTGGCAGGGGACTAGCAGAGGGACTCACAACTGCGAGACCTTGCGAGGCAGGGGCCGGGGCCGCGGGCCGGGCTCAGTCCTCCGGGTCCCGTTCTCCAGGTGGCCGGGCCGCGCCGCCAGGGGCTTGGGGGGCAGCGCGGGCGGCTCGGCCGTGACCGGGATGGAGAGGCTGTGAGGTAGCGGGACGGGCCGCCGCAAAGTCCGCTCGTACACGCTGTAGGGCGGCGGCGTTTTGCTCTCCTTGCGCACCGGCTCCTCCGGCCCGCTGTAGCCCGGCCCCGCCGCCGGCGCCGACTGTTCGTTCACCTGATTTTCGAAGCCTGAGGTTTCCGAGGTGCTACACCGGCTGAGAGAAGAGATGCCACTGCTGTAGCTGCCCGACAGGACGGGGGAGTTGGAGATCAGTCCCGGGGAGTGATATTCCACTGGAGAGGGAGTGAAGGACTGCACCGAGCCCTGCCCAAATGCAAAGGGAAAGGCAGAGGAGAGAAAAGTCACGGCCATCCTGAACACCGTGCCGGGCTGCATGAGGAACCCTCCCAGGCCCCTGAACTCAAGCCCTAATCCCCAATACTCAGAATGTCACCGCATCTGGGCTCAGGGTCTTTAAAGAGGCAGTACCTTAAAATGAGACCTTCGGGGTAGGCCTGCCTGGTATCCTTATAAGAAGGGGACATTTGGCCACACAGGGGAAAGGTCACGTTAAGGCAGAGCGAGAAGGGGGCCATGTGCCAGCCAAGGAGGGCGGCCTCAGGAGAAACCAAGCCTGGTGACGGCTGTTTGGGGATCCTGTAGCCTCCAGGAACTGTGAGAAAATAGATTTCTCTTGTTTAAGCCTCCCAAGCTGTGGTGGTTGGTGATGGCAGCCCTTCTTGGCCTACGGCAAACCCCCAGACTCAGATTTGAGGTGGTGTTATTCTCAGCACAGAAAACATTCATCCAAGCTTACCTCACTGCCCATTTTCAGGATAGAAAGAGGACAAATGTAATCAGGAAGAAAATTCAGAGGCACATAATTAGTCCTGTGATTTGGAAGACAGGGAACCAGCAACGGAAGGCTCTGGCATTACTATCTTCCCTTTCCAGCTCAGCAGGGACCGGCTCAGAACTGGAGGACAGCAGCCAGGGCAGTCGGAGCGGGGACAGGCCTCCCAGCAAAGGCCTCCAGAGGAGGAGGCAGGCACAATAGGCCCGTGTTTGAGTTTGCTCCCACCCCACACCCTTGACCTGGAGCTGCCCTTGCGTAGCTCTCAGGCTCGAGAGTTGGACACAGGACTTGTTGCATCTGGAGTGTTTTCTAAAACCCTGACTTGGTTGCTAATTTTTTTAAAGAGGAAGATTTCTCAAAAACCCCCACATTTTTTGGCATTTGATTAAAAAAAACAAACAAAAACCCTGGAAGTTCTAGCAACAATGGCTTGCTTTCTCAATTTTTGAAGCTGATGAGGGGCTTTCCCCTTGAGACGGGGCACGAACTCTTCAGTTTACGGTAGCCTTCGCCACACTGTTCTACCAGCCTCCTTCGCTCATTCATGTCAGCTGTCTACCCTGTTGGCATCTGGATTTGCTACTTCCCTATCAGGTGTCCTATGGAAAATGAGTCCTAAGTGATGCTCTGTGAAAGGAGGGTTCTGCTGGGAAATAACACATACTATGCACTCCTTGAGTACATTTAAAGCATAGTAGCATGTTAAAGTTTTCTAATAAAGAAAATGAAAGGACTTTGCTGCCCAGTGTTTTCTACATGTATCTGACCACAGACCATTTTTTTTCTGTTTATCACATAATGGTCCATAACTAAGGTTGTATGGGACACATTTTTGCCAAATGTTATCCTAGACTAACTTCACCTTGGTCTCTCAACTAATGCTGGTAGACACAAATGTGTTCATTAGCAGGAGCCTAAAATTAAGCATCACCAATTAAGAGATCCAAATGCACTGCTCGTTATCAAAAATTAGACCACAAGTTCAAAATAAGGCAGGTAAGATCAGCCTTCTCGAGAGGATTAGCTCCATCACTTAATTGCTGGAAAAAAACTAAGTTAAGGCAGCAAACTACATTTTATGCATTGCAAAGGTCATAACTGGGTAGCAGTGTGTCCCCTAACATAATGCAGGAGTTACAACACAAACGTTCCGTTGTCTTTTCAAACCCCTTTTGTAGAGACATGGCTAGAAAGCTACACCTGGCCAATAAGAACCTCACCAGCTCTGCAGAGGAAGTCTACACCACCTTCCTATATAGGAGTGTTTTGTAGCTACCTGAACATTCTCATCCCTTAGGTTCTTTTTACAGAATCAACCTCTGTGACTTACCATGTTATTACTACTCTGCAAAAGCAAGTTGGAAAATGCAGATGTTAATTGCATTAGCAATATGTGGGAGCTCCTTGTGAGTAAGGGTACATGTAAGATGTGGAAACATCATGTTGCTTTCTTTCCCATCACGTCAACGTGATGGTCCGTGGCTTCCAGAGAGAATGCAGTCACATGTACCTTATGATTAACAGCTGCATTGCAGAATGACCAAAAAAAAAAAAAAAAAAAAAAAAAAAAAAAAAAAAAAAAAAAAAACCCTAGCAAATAATTTGCACTCTCCAGCAAATTTCTACATCAGAAATGTTGGCAATGCAAATGAAATCACACTTCCTTGCAATTTTCTCCATTTTGGGGCTTTTGTTTTCCAGATTCTCAGTTTCTATCAGCAACTATCCTTAGCACCCAGATGCATTGGATCACGACCTGCCCCTATGTTTTTAGAAGCTAATTTGTCTTTTTCTTTCACATTAGCTAGAAATACCTCAACAAAAAGGACATGGAGCATGTAAATCCTCACTCAGACACAAAGTCATTCTTTTTACAGTCACTTCAACCTTGTATTTGCCTCTGGTGCAGCAGCTCTGAACACCAATGTCTGTAGGTATTGACAATCCTTGCAGCCAATCTGATTCAATTTGGATAGAGACCAAATATTATTCTTTATCTTCATGAGGGATTTTGTATGTTTACAGATGTTAAATAGCCTATGTTTACATATCAATTTAAACGTCTCATCTTTAAAGCTTTTCAATTTGTTTCCTAGAAATTTTTGATTTCATTTTACTGTCTTTTTTTTTATTATCAAGTATATATCTCTACTGTAAATGAAAACCTTAGAATAAAATATTAAAAGAGAAGAAGCTGGGTTTGACTTTGTCAAAATGGGTGAGGCTGATAGAAGCAAAAAGGTACAGGAGACCATTTACTAGGTCTTCATTATCAAGTTTTTCAAGTTGTTTTTCTTTTTCTTTTTTTCTGATGTCCCTTAAACCAAAGGAGCAGACTGAAAACATCCTAGGAAATACACTGAGACCATATTTCTTTCCTAGTTCAGTGTATACACAGACCCTAGTCTGTACATTCTCACTTTCCCGACTTGGGGAATGAGGCTAATATAAAAACAAACGGTTTCATTCATGGAGGCAACTCTCTGAAAGCAAAGTCTAGTATTTTCTTTCCAATCTTCCTCCACCCCTTCTTTAGATATTCTTTGTCTGGTCTATACCAATGAAAGCACTTCAGTGATACACCGGGAGGAGTCCTAAGGAAAGAAGGAATGTGGGGCCAGTCTCTAGCCTGAGTCTAAGTCAGAGTCTGTACCTTCAGTGGAGATCTCCCAGCAGGCGAGGGGGATACTGACGTTGTATGTCTTGCTGGTGAAGCTGTAAACAGAGAGAGAAATCCTTTCAAAAACCAGAAAAAACAGAAAGGTGACAATCTGAAAATGCCCTCTGTGTACAAACTCCTACAGATGGCCCAGTGCCCAAGGCCCTCCTAGGCAAGGGGGGTAAGGGAGAAAGTGACACCTTTCCAAAACAGATTCCTCACAAAGGATGGCAGCACCAAGCCAGGGGAGAATTAGTGAAAAGTCACCAAAGCATACATGATGCTCTACAGAAGTGACAGAGGCTCGAACTGGGTCCATGTTCCATTTCTGCAAAGTCCAGATGCTTTTCCACTGCCCAATCTATTTCAAAAGGTGCTTTAGGTGTGAGGTGCTGAGGAGAAGTCTTTGGAAAATAGCTGCTGACTCTGACCCGGGCAGCAATGGGTAGACCCAGGGTATCCAGGCAACTTAGAAAGGGTCCATGAGAATAAATTCACACCAGCCTCCACTTTCATATCCCAATACTCCCAAAACAGAAGACACTTGGCCGCGTCCAGACAGGAAATGAGAAGTTTTCTGTTTACCTCCCTAATGCTCCTACTCAGGTCTTCTCTTTGCACCTGTGGGGTGGAAGTTGGCCGGGGGAGGGGGGTGGGCGGGAATGCAAGTGGTTCTCTATGAATTTCATCATTATGGCAAAGAAGTGTTCTCTCTTTGTTTCTCCCACTAGACTTTCAACCCTACACCTGGGATTCAGGACAGGTGATGGCACTGCTCCGTGTGCTTGTAGGTCAAATTCAGCCCCCTGAAGCATAAGCACGCACACGGAGAGCTGCCGTGATGCAGTCAATGCGGTGAATGTGAGACAGATTTCCCAATTCCACCTACAGAGGTTTCAGTGAGTTCAGGGTTTCTTGGTCTGTGATAAGCCGCCATTCTCCCAGCTGTCAAAGTGAGGTTTGCGACGCTTAAGAAAACTAGAGAGAGGCTGAAGGAAACAAAGACAGACAGTTACGGATCCCCCAACAGTGACCACGGATGATGACAGGAGGACAGACCAGGAAAGCAATCAGTGCAGAAGGGAGGGTGGTCCTGCCAGGTTCAATCGGGAGAGGTGAGTCACCTGTGTGCTCTGGGTGCTGGGGGACCAGAGAGAGTGGCCCACTGTTGCTCTGCCCTGCACACTAAGGGCATGCCACCGGCACTTGCCACGTTCCAGCACCAGCATTTAGATTTCCTATCCTGTCCCCGGTGGGTGTTGATGATGGGAGAAAATCACGTATGCTTGGAGAAACAGATCCTGACTGGGAATTGTATTTCTTCCACTGCTGTGTGTGGCACAAGTCCAGGTTTACTGTAGCTGACCATCTGCTTCGTCTTGACCCAGGCATTCAGTGGCCCCACCACGGTGGACTCCACAGCAGCCCTCGCAGCCATGGCATATCCAGAGATGTTTCTCAAGAAAGGCATTCTCCCACAGAGGCCTAAAATAGTTGGTCAGTATCCTTGCCTACTTACGAGTTTGAATGGGCCTAGGAACTTAACTACCATCAATATTACTGTTCCTTTGAAAATGCTTTCCAAGCTTCCAACATCATGACACATCCAAATTTAAACTGGAGAATGCTTGACTATATGTACATCATGAATAAGATACCAATTACTTGATTGATGCATTTTCCGCTGTCCAGGGTGACAATGGTATTCTAATGCAGATTACCAATTAAGCCTAGTTACTTCTTACTGTGTCTAAAAATCTCCCAAGCCTTTCAAAACCTGTTGGTGACTTTTAGTTTTGGCAAGTATAGAATACACTGGGTAGCACACAGTGTATTTTAAAAAGACAAGAAAGTTGCTTAGTTAAAAAAGAAAACAGAAAGATGAGATGCTACTATACAGCAAATGAAACATGAGTGATCAACCCAGAAAAATCCATGAAGGAAATGTCCTATTTAGGCCAGTTGTATTTGTAAAGCTTCAACACTACTCTAGACATATGTGACCGTTGAAAAGACTCTCCCCATCACCAGCATAGGTAAAGTCAGCAGAGCAGGTCTTAAAGGCTGTACCGTATCAAGTTCACTGAGCAAACGGCTTATTCAGTTGGAAAGGGTGCCTGTTATTGCTATCAACTCACGAAAAAAAACATTCTTAAAAATTTTCTCCAAATCTAGAAAGCTTTGGTAAAATACCAATTCCAGGGCTTTACTCCAAAAATGGTGATCTCCTGATTCAGTAGGTCTGAGGTTAGGCCTAAGAACTTGCTTCTTAAACCATCACCGGAGGGGATGCATCACCCTGAATCAACCCGTTAAGAAATCTCCCTCTTGAATACAGACTTCTCTATGCAAGGGACAGCAACGGATGTGAGGTCAGTTGTTCCCCACAAGCCTATTAAGTTACTGGTAGTCAATTCCTATTTAGGGGCAACGTGAAACCCTGGCATCAGTCCTGAGTAAGAGTGAAGTGGCTGACTTCACAGAGCTTGACAGGAATGAGGTGGCTCAAGCAAAGGACAGAGAAAATACTACTGGCTGGTCAAGGTTAGGGCACCTCCCCAAATTCTGAGGACGGTGCCGAGCAGGAGAACATTCTACAAAATCTGTGAATGGAGTTGATAAGGAATGGAGGGCTGTTTGACTTAGTATAGTGAGAAGTTCAGGAAAGAGGGGAAAAACATTGTAAATGAATTATGCAGCTACTAAGGTTTTTACCTCAGACATCCAATGCCCACTTTTCTCTGAGGAATTCACGACAAGTTGGAGTAGTCATAAAAGTGCTTTTATAAAAGTGATTGTTCAAATGCTTCAAATACCCACCAGTTTGTGTGGGTCTTGGAGGGACAGGGGGAGAGAGAATTTTCCCACTATCCGACATGTTCTTGGCTTCTTTCCCACTGTCCAGGCTCCAGCTGCTAGGGGTGGGATTCACAGCTGGAAGGGAATAACACAGCTAAAAACACATGGACCACTTTGCCCCTCCGACACTTGCGATCTTAGAAGAAAGTCAAATTATCCAGAATGAAAAAATCAGCTGGATTAAAAACAACAACAGCAACAATAACAGGAAACCTCCTAAATACTAGGCCTTTATTTAATTGCTTACCTCACAGTTATAGTTGACATTTAATTGGGTGGTAGCATGTCTGTTTATTTCCCCTCAAGCAGTCCAACAGAACTACAAATCTCTACAAGAGCATAGAATCTTGTTGAGAATTACAAATGTGTTTAGATGCTGGATAACAGATGGAGGATGTAGTCACTAAACTATTTTAAAACTTGGGTTTTAGTGTAAATTTGTAGACAAGTGGCATCCAAAAAGGGGGAAGGCAGCGAAAGGCTAATATTTCAACTACCTGGCAGAATTACAATGCTACACCATCCTGATGACCAACTCTTTGAGGAAAGAACTCTTGTTACTGAAATCAATGGATTATACTGAAGTATGTCCTGAAAAAAGTAATTTGGAATGCTGACAGTATCATTACTTTCTTGTAATTTGCCTGTTCCATGCTTCAGTAAGATGTAGAAATATGGAACAACCCTGTTAGGAACAAGGGCAAGACACACAAGATTATAAATAGCTGCTATGAAAGAAGGTTTACAGAAGCAAGACTTCAGAGTTCCTGCGGCTTGCTCCCTGGACAGACGCTGCCATCTGGTGGACACATGTAGGATTCCAACCTTTTACTCTAAATGACCACATTCATTTAATGGCATGGAATTACCACTCCTAAAATAATTTTTCTCTGCTCGGTTTTAAATTTGCTTTGTGGTTTTCTTTGGTAGAAGTGGTGAGAAAAATAATAAGCTCTCCTGGCAAAGATTAATATCTGACTTGCAACGTTAAAGCAAAATTTGTGTTTTAAAATAATTTTGGCTCTCTTCTCACTGATTTCAATCTCCCAAGGAAAGTTTTAATGTTAATCTACCCGTGTACTCAAATGACAATACAGTTTAGTTCTTAATGAGGACAATTAAAGTGCACTTTACGGGAACATTTCATTAGTGACTCTTGATGCGTTGGCTTACGGGACCACTTGATTGTTGAGGCCTGACCCTGAGAGAGGCAAGTGGGGGGACCTACCGCAAGCCCCCACCTGCACAGTGGAGGAAATCACATTTAATCTGCTGTTCATCTTCAGCTGTGTTGCACAGACTGATGCTAATTGGCTATTAACTGCTATGCATGTGTTTCTCATTTTGTGTGTGACCTTGAGGCAGGGCACACTCCATTATGCACTGGATTGCAATTCTTAAATAGTATGTGAGTCCCCACAAACAACAGAAGAACTGGCAGAGTGAGCTTTGTAAAGGAAACAAAGGGCCGGCGGGGGAGGGGGGGGGACCAGGCAATCAATCTGGGAAGGTGCTATTTTCCCTGTGCTAAACAAGTACCTAATTGGCAACTCTGTTTCAGGGAACACGGAATTGCCTTGGTGACATGACACCAGAAGCCATTAAACAGAGGAGTTCCTAACTTGCTCAGGTTCTGCTGTTCAGTCCCACAAGGAAACAGTTTTGAAAGAATGCATCATCAATGGCTGTCTTTCATTAATCCCCTAAGGTGCAAATTAGTCCCGATCATTAAAGATCTGAAGATCTGCCTTCCACACAAACACATGGGAGACTGGAGGAAATGAGGACAAAACACACCCTTCCACATTTCAGGACTGATGAAGGGGCTGGCTTTATACCCACCTTTCTCAGGTGCAGAAAGATTTGGGTCACTGCGTGGCAAGGCCCCATCTCCAATATGATTAAACAGCAGCCTCTGCAAAGGTATAAGAGTCTATTTTTATGGTGCAATTTGCTGTCATGTGAGACCCTCTAGAAAATGAGATGATTGTCTCATTACTGAAACTTTTTGTTTAAAATAATTTTTACATGGTATATGATGAACCTACGAACCAAGAATTCGATTATATTTAAGGAAAAAAGGGGAGAAGAACTTTAAGTTTAAAAAGTTTGTATTCAATTTTAAATGTAAATGGTAAATACATTTTCATAATAAAATGGAGGGAAAAACAGTAAGGAGCACTAAAGCTATGGTGCTCTTTATAAATACAAATGCTAGACTGGCAATATGAAATGCAAATAAGAATGAAAAAAGAATTATTAGCTCAAAAAATCTCTAGTGAATGGACATGTTTTCAGTCCTAGGTTAAAAACATGGGAAATGGACAATATTCTACAATTTTTAACCCACAAAAATGTCACTTTTACATGGTTCTACCTAATATAGTAAAAAAAAAAAAAAAAAAAAAAAAAAAAAAAAAAAAGAAAAAGTGCGAGTCCTTAAAAGGAGATGCACCACATCAATGTGCAGCATTGAGCTTTTGGTTACTACACACTGCTTCACATTTTACCAAAAGTGGAAAAGTCGGAGGCTAATCAAGGAAGGCTTTCAGAGTCCCCCATGCTGGCAACACGCACTCCTGGAGCCGATGGAACAGAGTGTGAAATTCCCTCGCAACACCAAGTGACAAAGGGAAATAAAACTGGGGAGCTAGTTCAGCCAAACGCACTCAGAGAGAATTTCTGCGAGACATCAGTGTTGTGCAGATGAGGTATCCTGGGGCTTTCAGGAAGATTATACAATCAGCAAAGATAAACCAATCAAGACACATCCCACTCGCTCTCATCCATTTCCAGATGCAGTTACAGACTTCTGCCAGGATGGTGTAGAAAAACAGAAAAATTAGCTGGAACATAAATAAGTATAGTTCTCTACTCCTAAGTTATTCCCAAAGCATTGGTAAACCCCAGGGCTACCCAACAATCTTCACCTTTGGAACCACCCTTCACGGCCCTTGAAGTGCCCGGAGGGCCAGGCCTTTGGCCCTGCCCTCACCGGGACCAAGAGGGACCACTTCAAAACCAAGGCCAGGCAGGACGTGAGGGCCACAGTGCTTTACTCCCGAGGCATACAGGGAAAGCCTGGGCACTCAACTGCTTCTCCCTCAATGTAGTACAGAAGAATGGCAAAGGTGAACAGAAATTGGCCCTGCACTCCTGGGTACCTAGTCTGAAGCTTTCTCAAACTAGGTAGAGGTCAAAAGAGAGGCTGCTGGATAGATCATGCTTCTCTGAACGGTCCTTTGCTAAGATAAAAAGCTGCTCCGAATTTCTGCTATGCACACATGCAAACACAGACACTCCAACTCATCCACCTAATTACCCCTTGTAACGTTTAAATAGCAGCAGTGAACTACAGGGTCAGGTCAAGGAGGGTGAGATCATTTCCCATTTTCTGCTCAGCTTTATTGCTTAAGCAACAACCCTTGTATCTGTATAGGAAATATGGCTCCAACAGAAATTGCGAGCAATGGGCATGGGACAGAGGTTCACTCTTCACTCAGAAAGACTTGTTATCTAACACAGCCCATCCGGTTGCCTCTGGCAGGTACGGCGTTTCTCTGCAGAGACATGTAAGCAATTCCAGGCATTTGCTTGTTTTCTAAGTATCTCCGTCCCACAAGGACTACCTGAGAAGTTTCCCCAGGTGTTGGATAGATGGCACTGCATGGTCTCTCTCTTGGAGACAGGCAAGAGTTTTCTCTGGAATGTTTGTGTTTGTCAGACAGCAAAGGGGAAGCTGGGAAGAGAAGAAAGGAAGGATCATTAGGGGGTGGAGCTGGAACAGTCTGGAGGACGGGGCTTGTGTGCGGGAGCAGCAGGTTCCGCGGGCACCCTCAGTCTACCCCACGTCCTGGCACTGACCTCTGGCACTCGATGGGGCAGAACTTGTCACGTTAGGCGAAGCAGAGTGAGTAGAACTCAAGCTTGAGGTAGATGGACTTGGCTGGAAATACATGGGAGCTGTTATCACACACTGCTTGGAGGCTTCGGACAACACTGACATATTTAAAACAAAATCACTGCCCTTTTTTTTTTCAAGTAGCCAAAAAAAAAAAAAAAAAAAAAAAAAAAAAAAAAAAAAAAAAAAAAAAAAAGACAGAAAGGAAAAGCCATTTAGAAATCTAAAAAAATCTCAGAACAAGGAAGCCTGTCTGAATTAATCAAGAATCCAAGATTTAAAAACAAACAAAACAGTCTGAAAAGAAAAAAATCGAGATTTTTGACTCCTGCCAAGTGAACACATTCGTGCTGGTTTTGGCGACATACTAGGACTCAGGACCAGGCAGCAGCACACTCCTGGACTAAAGTGCAAGCAGCAAGACTCCCAGCCTAGGGCACGTCAAGAGGTGAGCGCCTCTAAAAGGCAGAAAACACTCCTTCTTGTTTTCTCCAAAACTGTGTTCAAGGCATGAGTTCCGCAATATGTATTATGCTCCTTTTCTAAAGACAGTGGTAAGGAAAATTTCAGCTTGTTCTACTAAATTGTTATGAATGCCCTATTAGCAGTGTCTGAATAAAATTCTGTGTTGCAAGAGTTACACTGACTCATGTCCTTATAAACTGTATGTTTTTTCCTTTAGTAAAAATATTTTGATTATGAAAATTTGTTGACATGTACCTAGGTAGAGAGATGTTATAATGGACCTCTCAACCACGTATTGTGAAGCAAAAAGGCCACTTAGCAATGCTAAGAGGCAGCTAGCATGTGGTGACATGTTCCAAGAGTCCCCAAATGAAGTGGTAAGTTCCAAAGCTAACCCTGTACAGCTTGCCCGGCCTTTCCCATTCTTGCTCATGTCTTCTGAGAGTAGATGGGCGGTTTTGAGAGGACTATCTTTGTAGACTCCAGAGACCAACAAAGCAGTAAGAGTATTTAAAAGTTTGTCCTTAACTCAAGTTCTTGCTCGCAGATCTGTTCATTAGCACAGCAGAGTGAACAGAAACTCTCACGATTGAGACAGAAAAGGAATACACACGACCAGACGATTAAAAAGCTAATCAAGTACCTGCATGTTAAAGACTTCATCAGAGCTTTCTGATTGCCCTGTAATATTGCTTACTTCAGCAGAAGCTTGGGAGGACAGTGAGGAGGAAGAATATCGGTTGACAGCTGGGTAACTTAATGGGCTGTTTTGGGGGAAAAAAAATGGTCATTAACTCAGTCTCTGAATTGCACTTCATCACATGCTGGCATGGTATAAAACCAAAGGAAAAAAATATACATTCCATTTTGTTGTCTCCTGTTTGCCTCAATATAATCAAATGTTTGAGTTTATTTATTTCTCATGCTGTTGCTGTTTTACCAGTGGCAGATGTCTGCAGCTGCCTTGCGGGTTAATTATTTCATTAAGAAATAGCGTATTTGACAAATTATGCCATAAAGAATGAGAGAATCATTCCAGATCATCTTGTGGGGATGCCAAATTATAAGATAATTCAGAATATGACTTACCTGCGTCTAGGAATTACCCTGGTACCATCTGGGCTCATTGAAGCAGGTGCTGAGTTTCTACACACACGAGGGCTTCCATTAGGAAAATGGACTGGACTGGCTTGTATACAAGCAGAGAACTCCTAGAGATGTAGTAAAGCACATATTTAAGAGTAATTACATGGGCAAAGTAACTCGTGAGGTATTTTAGTATACTGTGACAAGGCTAAAAGGTTATAAATGTTAAGTTTCATTATTATTAAGCTTTCTCGCCCTTTTTGGGTTTTCATAAAAGCTGAACACGGCACACAGAAGATAATCCAATTTTAATATTGGAGGACTCCCTGGTAAAATGATGCAGTTTGGTAGAAAAACCAAAAGATGTCACTATTGGATACTTCATCGTCCCTCTAATGAAAAGCAAATGGCAGTGGTCAGACTGCCCCCTATGGACACTCTGTGTACGTACCTGTATCCCTAAACTTGACTTCATCACAAAGAACTGGTCCACCAGCTTTTTGTGTAAGGGTCTCATATCTTGAGGTACAAACTTCTCATGCACGGCCAAACCAAATTCCAAAATCTGTGCCTTGATAATAAGATAAGAAGAAACTCACGTCAATAGGTAACTCTACCAAGTGCTTGCTAAGGGGTCAAGCACTGTACCATGCATTCTGCATGCGTTACTGTGAATCCTCTCAATCCCACGAGACGGGAACAATCCTTCACTTACGGGTGAGGATCAGAAAGCTCTTGCAGGTGCTAAAAGACAAATGGGGATTCAAACTTAGGTCTTTCTCATTCCAAAGACTTCATTTCCCTGGTACCCTAAGTTTCTTTCCCATGTATCTGAGATCTGTAACAACAACCCTCTTAAGCAAGTATGTGTCCCTTTGGCCCCCTTCTGCACTGGTCAGGATTGGGAAGGAGCGGCTCCCTATTAGTGGGATCAGGTACTTCTCCCTGAGGGATCTCTTTCCTGGACGGCACCCCCTTTTCCACATTACCCTTCTCTCTTCCATCAGGTTCTTCTGTTCCCATCCACCCCTCCCCCAGAATTCCCAAATTTGTAGAGGGGGACACAGAAGTAAAACAGGAACAGGAATTCTATAATAGTTGCCATGCTTTTTGTTTTTGTTAAAAGCTATTATTCTCATTCACTTATTATAATGCAATAATTGGAGCAGCTCCTACTTAAAAAGTTTCTTGCAGTGTGGACCCACAAGAGATGGACATAAACATTCCAGTTTCTTTTGTTCTTCAGCTATTAATAGTGCTTAATTCCTTTGATTTGACTATCAGCTGTCTTTTACATTTTAAAAAATGCCCCATACTACAGTGGTCAAAAGAGCAAACTGCACTGACTGAGAGGAAAGCAAATCACACCATTACCACATGGTTTTTATCTTCATGGCTTGGGAAGATTCAAGACTGAGAGCTCAGGACTGAGCCTGGTGGGTTAGAGCTTCCAGAACCTTCCCTATGGGGACAGGACTATGGCAGCTCCTACCCACCGCCAGTGTATCATAAAGATAAAAATACCTTAAACACCAATGACACCTTTAAAAGGAATAGTAAGAGTGGAATGTATGTCTGACACATAAAGGAAGAGTCTGATGAGGGATGGAAGGACATGGAAGAGTTGACCTCAAGGGTCAACTGTATGTTGGGTAGGAATCCAGTCTCCATTTTAAACACATGCTGTTAGGCGACCTCTCTTTTGTCCAAATCAGGTTGAAGGTTGGGTTCTCCCAGAAGTAGACTCTGGCATGGAGATTAGGATGTTTACTGGGGAGTCACCTGGAATCACTGTCTGTGTGAGGGAGGGGCAGAAGCAGGACTTGACGAAAAAGCAACCAAGGCACAGGGCAGTCACGTCAGCCTATGCTGACACCAGGGGGGCTCTGGGCCTCAAACAGGCTGTCAGAGTTGTGCTCTGTTGGGCCCAAATGGCCAGGCTGTATATCTCCTCCTCAGTCATGGGATGTGGGCCATCCAGGAAGATGGTCATCTTGGGGCAGGCAGTGCTCTGTAGCTGAGGCAATAGCTGAAGGACCTGAGAGCCAAAGGTATCTGTTGACGGCCACCACTCCCATCAGCTGGGGCAACAAGTCCTTTCTGGAAGAGCCAGTGGGGCAGTGTGTCCCTGAGTCTACTACATAGTTTTTATCTGAACCACCTCACAGAGGTCCAGAGGAGCATGGTGCCCTCACTAACCTAAACCCCTTCTACTATAGTCTGGCAAAGGTGATATGACTTGCCCAAGGTCACATTGCAGTCACCTGTACTGATTGTCCTGTGACAGAGATCTAAAGTTTCCCCCAACAAGGCTCTTTCCACAAGGCCCTACAAACATAATCAGGCAGGATCTGGAGGAAACAAAGGTTCCTGGTTTTCTTTTTCTTTTCTTTCCTTTTTTTTTTTTAATTTATGTTTATTCATTTTTGAGAGAGAGAGAGAGACAGACAGACAGACAGACAGACAGACACAGAGTGTGATTGGGGGAGGGACACAGAGAGAGGGAGACACAGAATCTGAAGCAGCCTCCAGACTCTGAGCTGTCAGTACAGAGTCTGATGCAGGGCTTGAACCCGTGGACCGTGAGATCATGACCTGAGCCGAAGTCGGACACTTAACCAACTGAGTCACCTAGGTGCTCCCTGATTTTATTTATCTTGAGAGCCTTCTTGGCCCTTTTAATTATAATTCTGGGGAACGAATTCAGTCAGACTAAATACAGCAAATAAAAGTCCTGCAGTGAGGCAAACCACTCACAAGAGATTGTGCTCAGGTTAAATACAGATTTTTGAGTATCAACAAAGGCTACACTTACTCCATGATCCTAAGAATCGGATAACCTAACCTGCTCACTTCTAGTATCGACATCATCCCCAGAACCACAGTAGGAACTTATTCTCTATTTCTTTGCAGGTCAACTTAAAGTAATTCCTTTCTCTTTTCCAGATGCTGCATACCTGGCCCTCTTCCAGCCACAGTCCCTGTCTGTGGTCACTTCTTTCTCCCTAGTATTAAGTTCTGTGGATTAAGCCTGCAGAGCATAAAATATGGACTAGAATCAGATACAACATCATCATTTTCTAATCCAAAAGGGAATGCCTTATTTGTTAATTAATTTGGTATTATCAAGTAGAAAGAAATGCTCTGGTCATGTTTTATCATATGTATTCCATTTTTTATGGAATAACCATTATGCCTCCTACCTCAGAGGTTTTCAAACCATTTTCAGGCCAAGAGCCAGCAACAGGAATGCAGCAGGCAAGAGATGACTCTAGTTCTTTGTACTTGACGGCACTAAATAAAAATAAACTATGCTTCCTTGGAGTAGAAAATGATAGGGTTGAATCTAGTTTTGTCCATACCATATGACCTATAGACTTAGTCTGCAAAACATGATACTGTTTTAAAGCAAAGTCTATTGATTGCTCCCTTACTATAACATTTAAGGCAGAATCTCATGCTTTCATTCACTCATTCATTTATCTATTCATTTGTTTTGAGCTGGCCCAGACTTATCTGAGTCCAAAATTTTGAGTGAAAAGTTGGCATCAAGCCTGCAGCAAGTCTTTAGGGAGAGAACATTCAAGCACTATTCTAAGAGACTACATGAGGTTGCTTGTTATAAGGGGCTGCCATAGTTTACTCACTGTTAAATTTACTTTTGCATCAAAGTGTAAAGTTAAAGTAAAAATTAGAAATTTTGAATACATTACAGATGAATCTATAACCCTTGACTGACTGCTTCTGTTAGAACACTGATGGAGAGAACCACGTAGATGGGTCCCTGGGTAACCATGCACACATATCTCGGCAGGAGAGAGAGGTGACTGGCTTCTGTCCCCACCTACCTGCTCAAGCATCAGTTCTCTTAACCGTGCAATTTTCTCTCCATCTTCAGGGTGACTTAAGATATATTCTTTGACAAAAAATGCCTAGAAAGAGAAGGGATAGTTTACTTCAGGAGAGTTAAAAAGAAAGTGAAAGACATAGTTGCTTCTAAAGACCTGGCATCTTTTTTTTTTTTTTTTTAATTTATTTATTTTGTGGAGGGGAGGGGCAGAGAGAAAGGGAGAGAGAATCCCAAGAGAGAATTGGAGGGCTCAAATTCATGAACTGCAAGACCATGACCTGAGCCAAAATCAAGAGTCGGAGGCTTAACTGACTGAGCCACCCAGGTGACCCATGGACCTGGCGTCTTTAAAGAAACACCATTGTGAACCACATTTCTGGGGCAGAAGGAATGACTCCTACTGAAGGCAGCTGGTCAGAAGAGAACAAAAGAAAAGGATTGTCCAAGGAAGAGCAGGGATTGTATAAATAAGAATCTTTGGTAAACTAAGCAAACAGCAAATCAAGTCAATAAGCTTTGTATCCTAAAACGAAGTGCTTTAAGATTCAGTATGACCGGGGCGCCTGGGTGGCGCAGTCGGTTAAGCGTCCGACTTCAGCCAGGTCACGATCTCGCGGTCCGTGAGTTCGAGCCCCGCGTCAGGCTCTGGGCTGATGGCTCGGAGCCTGGAGCCTGTTTCCGATTCTGTGTCTCCCTCTCTCTCTGCCCCTCCCCCGTTCATGCTCTGTCTCTCTCTGTCCCAAAAATAAATAAACGTTGAAAAAAAAAAAATTAAAAAAAAAAAAAAAAGATTCAGTATGACCAAAATGACAGCCTCCTCACCTTGTAAGCTACTGTGACTTTCTGTTTAAAACCAAGAGGGGAGATGAAAAGTCCGTTTAAAGTACCTACTAAAGAAGATCAAACTTTTCTATGCCTGTGAACCTCTTTGCACAGGGAAATGGTTTTAGGTAGACATTTATTAAATAATCCTGATACCCTTACTACTTTATTCATCCAAGAACACACACACACATACAGTTTTATCCTCAAAAATGTCATATACTGGAAAAATGGAGTAAGTGTGCATCACAAATGACTATATGTTTGCTCTATTTAACAAAGAGCTCTGTGTCAATTGTAGCCCTATGTTAGTTTGTGGATATGCACACATGTTTTGAAAAAAAACCTCTGAAGCCCTAAGAAATCACATTTAAAAACTTTCAAATGATATCTAATCCTCACCTCTTGATACCTGGAAACTCCACCATTAACCGCAGCATCTATAACTCCATTCAGGCACATGGTCAAGGGATTAATATTCTGCATCTGTCTTGTCTGACACTGACTAATCAGAGTCTTCAGCTGCTGATTCTTATTTTCCAACACTTCGATTGCATTTTCCAGAGGACTCATTTCCACCTGAGAAGCAAATGGGCATAAATATATATTGGATTTTGTGACATTCAAGAAGAAAGTAGATCATCCATGTTCTGAATGATTTGTGCTCCCCCTCGGCTCCCATCAATATCTCTACCAGGGGCCATACAGTAGAACAGACAGGATGTGGAAGACAAATTAGCTGTTCATTTGAAGGTCTGGAAAGTGAAGGTGATTATACTGATTGGTTGAAATGTGATTTGGATAATCAGCAATCATCAATCCCATATTAGCACTGCAACAATCAATGTAACCCGCAAAGAAAATCTAAGCATCTCATGCCTGTTAAAACTCACTTATCTTTTCTCCTGAAGGGCTAAATATTCAGGGGCCCTGCATATTATTATCACATTTCTAAATGCTTACTTAATGCAAAGCACCACAGGAGATACAAAGATGCATTTACAAATCCTCTGATGTCAAGACGCTTTCAACCCAGTTGGGAAGATGGGACATATGCCCATATGGACCCCATATGCATATATAACAGCACCATAAGGTGGCACAGGATGGTACTCAGTTGGGAGTTATAGAAAATAAGTTAATCATATATGCTGCAGGATCTATTTTTTGAAGGAGAGCCAAAAGAATTATAATGACTTAAAAATTCTAGCTTATATGGGGGACCGAACTGAAAATGATGAAAATGTTCTTCAAATATTTAACATTGGAGCCATTATTGTCATTGACATTGTCTTTGAAGAGAAGGTCTGCCAAGCTCTTAGCTATAAAGTAATTCAATCTTACAATAAACACATTTAAATATTGTGGTCTTTTTTTTCAGTTAAGGAAACAAACTGGACTTTTAAAGTTCACTTACATCATCATCAAACAACACTGCAAAGTATGAGAATAATTTGACAATGTAAAAATTAATATTATACATTCATCAAGAGAGACTAGACAGGAAAGCCAGAAAGTAGAAGGTATTTATAACCTAGAAAACCACCAAAGAGCCTCTGTCCAGAATATATATAGAACTCTTTTTTTTATAATAAAAGAATAAAGATTTTTATTAAGCATTGTAAGTTGCATTCAATAGCCTTCGATACACCATGCCACAACCCACCTACAATCAGTCAGACCCAACAGCAGTTTGTTCTTGCACAATCCATGAGTTAGGGCAGAACTCCCTTCAACTTACAGTAAGATCTTACTCAGGTCTTTTGGGCAGGGATTGGGGAATTATATCTCATTTCTGACCACTAATGTGCGATGAGGAGCATCAGGAGAATTATACGAAAATGAGTAAGAAGTGATTCTGATCTCAAAGTACATTTTTTGGAAGCATTAATAAAAACATCAAAATGATATAAGTATACCTGTTCAGAATATATATAGAACTCTTATAAACCAATAAGGAAGAGGCAAACAACCCAGTAAAAATAGGCAAAAGACTTAAACAGGCACTATATTTACAAAGGAAGAAGACCAAGTGGTCAATAAATATATGAAAAGGTGTTGAACCTTATTTGTGATCAAAAAAGTGAAAAACAGTACCACAATAATATAGTACTGACCATTCACCAAAATGGCAAAAATAAATATGACAATAGCAAATGAGGGTGAGAATGAGAGCACTAGAATCTCTCAATTTCTGCTGTTGGAAGTTCAAACTGTTTCAATCGCTTTGGAGAACAGTTTGGCATTAAACACTAAAGTTAAAGATATCTTTATTATATTTTATGGTCTCGCAATTCTATGCAAGCGTATGTTTGAGAAAAAAAGTAAGAGATGTATGTACATGTGTGTGAAGAAATGTACAAAAATTGTCATAAGTGTCTCCAAAATCCCTATGTCCATTGATAAGAGAATGCATAAACATATTGTGGTATGTTCACACAATGGAAGAGTATGCAGCAGTGAAAACAAACTTCAGTCACATGTAATAACACTGTGACAAATAATACTGAGTGACAGAAACAAGTTACAAGAGAATATATACACTATGATACTGTTACATCAAGTTCAAAACCAGGCTAAACTAAACTGACTTGTTTTAGAGAATCATAAACTTAGGTGACCAACCAAGGAAGGGAATGGATACCAAGTAAGTGAGGATAGTGGTGACCTGTAATGGAAAGTGAGTGACTTGTGACTGTGAAGGAATACATGGGAACCTTCTAGGGTGCTATTGGCAATGTTGTGTTTCTTTACAGAGTGCTGGTAAATAAGTATTTATTGTCTAGGACAATAAGCCTTTGTTTTATAATCATAAAACCTAAATCATAAAGGAAAAGTCTGAGAATTCTGATGGACTAAAAGGTAAAAAGTCAGACATCTTAGAAAATGGAACACTGGTTGCTAGGGGCTGGGGAGGGGAGAAAGGGGAAATATTCAATGGATAGAGTTTTAGTTTTGCAAGATAAAACTGATCTGTTGCATAATAATGCACACGTAGTTAACACTATTGTACTGTATGCTTAAAAATGGTTAAGATGAAAAATATTGTGTTTTGGCCAATGGGGAAAAAAACTCATGCTCATCTTTAGAAGTTCAAATGCTATTAATACGAAAAAATTCAAAAACAAATTGCAACAAGCCCAGGCAAAAGACAAACAGTAACTTGGGGAAATATTTCCATATATATTCCTGATAAATTATTGTTATTTCTCAAATACCGAAGAAAACCAAAGGCTAGAATTCACAAAATAAATAGAAAGAGGAAATAAATATATGAAAAAAATATCATCTTCACTTGCATTCAACAAATGCCAAAAAAAAAACCCCAAAAACCCAAACAAACCCTAGTATGATCATTTTCGGTTTATTATTAGGAAAGATTAAAATAACTGAACCCCCAATGTTGGAGAGGATGGTGGGAAAACGGGTATTCTCAAGAACAGTTAATCCCCACCAGACAAGACAGAAGTTGATACATGCCATTGTTGGCCCGTGAATCAAAGGTTAAATTGTGGACTCTTTGATAGACCAATTCATTTCTAGGGAAATTATTCTAAGGAGATGGTCAAAAGGAGTATGTGAAAAACAATGTGTAAAAAACATTCACTGAAAGATTATTTTCCTCTTGTCCCTGGATTGTGATCTTTAAATGCTGTTTACCACCAAAAAGAAACAGGAGTCATTGGAGAAATGGAGAACCTAGTTATCCCAGTAAGCCAGGAAGGCGGCTGGGAGGAAGGCAGTAAAGCAGCTGGCCTGTGATTCATTCACTGTCTCTAATGGAGGAATATCCTTGGGGAACAGAAAGGAAGGCAGGTGATCTGGTCTTATCCCCTTGTCAACTGAACCTTCAAGTAAACAGTCCAAGACTAATTGCCAGAAGGAGGAGATGGTATCTGTGTCCCCAGCTAAGGATTGCTTTCAGTAATAAAACTGATAAGCCATGATATAGGATTCCCTACATAATGTCCCAGGTAAGTTTTATAACTGTCTGCAGTATAAAATGGAGTATTTCATAATGTGAATTTCATAATTTAAATGTACCCTGTGTATGAGGGATCCCGTGAATTTCACTTAGAGACTCCGTCTGTTCCAAATTACTATTGATGTGAGAAAAGAAGGACCTTGAGGCCAAGGCCTGAGGTCTCAGATGTCTCTCTGCTTCATATGAGCCTCTTGATTGCCTTAAAGTTATTAGTAAAGCTTGATGCTGATTCCCACATCTGATTTGACAATCCAGTCCTATGTGTTAGCTCAGTAACAACGAATACTTGGATACTGTAAAAAAGACTCAAAAGTCAATTTGAAGAGGTTCCCAATGGGCAAAATGGAACAACTTGAAAATCAGTAAGAGTAACAATTACAATGAGTTAAAAAAAACAAACAAAACCCAGTATGCTTAAATCCACAAGTTACGAATGATACATAAAACAAAGCCAACCAAACAAAAAACTTCTCTGGTCGCTTCTGTAGGGTGTCATCCTTCCTTTGCTATACCTCAGGGTAATCACATAGTTGATGAGGGAATGTTTCTCATCACAGAAGTGTTCCAATGAATAAACAAAAAAGGAGTGACAAAGTATTTTACCATTTTGCGACACTCAGTAGGCTGGGGCCATGATCATCAGTGGCTTCCAATGTAACAACAAAAAAGAGACAACCAGAAGCATAACACCACCTAGGAAGTACTCTTGCAAAAAAAAAAATAAATAAACAAAAACCAATAATAACAACAGCATCTTATCAAGTCTCTAGATCTAACTGCCAATTTACAAAAAATATAGGGGCAAAGAAACATGTTAAATTACCCCACTGGTTCGCAGGCTGCAAACTGCAAGGGGAAAAAGAGCAATTCAGGGAGAACCTATAAATCAAAAGAGACCTTAGGAGACATTTCAGCCAAGTGCGATGTATGGCCCTGATGTGGATCTGAATTCGAACAACAAAAGACAACAAATAAACAAAAACTCATAAAAGAAACAGACTCTTGGTGAAGTGTAAACGCTGGTTATTTTACGTCAAGGAATTACTGTTCATTTTTTAAGACGGGATAACGTATGATATTGTGGTTATGTTTTTTCGTTATTGTGGTTATGTTTTTTTGTTAATATACATACTGAATTATTTATAGATGAGATGATATGATGTCACATTTACTTCAAAATAATCCAGTGTAAAAGAGGATGGAGCTGATGAGACAAAACTGGCCTTTTTGACAGATGTTTAAGTAAAATGATGGGTACATCAGGTTTGTTATGTATTTATTTTTGTATGATACAACTTAAATTTAAAAGGGACACCGGATGCTGTACACAGAAGTGACTGCAAGGGGTTAGGGTAGAAGCATGTGACCACTTAAGACACTACTGCAGAAATCAGACACTAGATGGCGCTATGAGTAGGGGCTGGTGAAGAGTGGCTGGATTCCGCATATATTTTGAAAGGAGAGCCACGTGATTTTCTGATGGATATAATGTGAGGTGTGAAAATATTCTCATTATCTTTAGTTGGAGTTTAAAAAGTCATCACAAATTTCTTTTGTGGTTTATCTTGTTTGAAAATTTTTAAATGAGCTTACTTATTAATGGGGGAAAGTACCTATTTTTTTATTTGTTCTCAAAACAATAAAAACAATTACTGAGAAAACAGTACTTCAAAGGCTTTGCTATCTTTGCAAGAATGGGATAATAAACTCTGGGGCTATGGGTTAGAGAATAAAGGCCCACAATCCCATCAGAAACCTTTGGCACCAGATGGTTCACAATTCAGAAAATTTCAGATTTTAGAAACATAATATAAGGCACAGATAGTTTATTACGTAACCCTCAAGCAGGGTCCGGGAAGATTATTTTTAACCAATGCCTTAATATTTCTGGATTAAAACATATGAATATTCATACTATGTGAAATAAAGATCGTAAATGGTCCTAACAGCAGATCAGGTTAGGTTTATTACCAATTGAGTTTGGGAGCTGAACTTATGACAACACCTTTTGGTTTTTCAGAATCTTTCAGATTTTGACAACGTACATAAGGAATTTCAGTTCAGGTTGGCATATATGTATTTAGTACCTACTGCCTCTGATCTCAAGGGCCTCATACACTATGAATTAAAGTAAAGTAGTAAACCAGCAACTTTAATAGAGGGTGAGGACATACCAGGCAGTGGGAACAAGAGAAAGACATAAGGTTGTCATGAGTGGGCTGTGTTCAGAGAACAAAGTAGCCCAATTAAATTTGTTCTGTTTGACAGAATGTAAGATTATATATTCCAATAAAGTAAGCAGCTGACGTTTGAAAGGTTGTGCTTAGTAATGCTTCTTTAATCATTATCAGCATGGTACTTTCTATGAGTAGTGTGTGTGTGTGTGTGTGTGTGTGTGTGTGTGTGTGTGTGTGTGTGAGGGGGTAATACTTCAAAGGTTAGGGCCACTGGTGAGACCTCAGAAGATTTAACCCTCTGGGTAGTAAGTAGCTGAAATGGCTCTCTGAATCATTAATGCAGGGTAGATGACTAAGAACAGCGATGTGGGTTGGGCCCATGCCATTCAGCGGGAAGCATAAAGCTAAGACTTTCTGACACTGTTGGGCGACCTCTCCTCTTCTATGGAAGGCACCAAGGTACATCAGTGGGGACCCTGGACTCAGAACCTACAAGAATACAACAGCACTGAGGCAGTCTGATAAACTAAGTTCCATTTGTCTAGGAAGCCATATGAAATTTTTAGCACTGTAAAAGGAAAATGCCACTACATCCTTAGCTTCAATGAGCATGATAAGCTGAGTGGTTTCAATGCTTAGTGAGATTTCAGGCAGGACGAGGCATTCTTGGAAGACCATTTGGGCAAAAGCTGCTTTTATTTACCCACTGACGGAATGAGCCTGTTACCTAAGAAAGGGGTGAAATGATGTCTTCACAACTGCCACGTCTTCTATCAGCTAGAGGACTCCGGCCACCAGAGGGCTGGCCTCAGCCAGGACAGACGTCCCAAAGGAGGGAGAAGGGACGCTGCTTGGGTGCAGGGCTGCCATCAAGGCTCAGCCAGCCTGAAGAACAGCACAGGCAGCAGGGTGAGGTTTCACCCTGGACGTAGCTGCTGTCAGCACCCAGAACTGGGGGCTGGAGCTGGGGCATGGTTTACAACCTGAAGGGGACCCGGGTGCTGCAGTTTCCAGGTTCTATAATGACACCCAAGGGTCTCTAGCTGGTGTTCATCCAGGACTGCTCAGTGAGACCAATTCAGCAGCCTCTGTTCTACTGCCAAAGGTAACAGCACGGACTTCCAGTGCATCAGATACAGTGCTGGGGCTCTGTACTAGCCTCAGGCTGCCTGTAAGGAAACTGAGCTAAAAGAGTTGGATGTAACTGGCTTTTGAGGCAGGAATATCTGGGTTTGAGTCTATCCTTTTCCAACATCTTAACATGAGACCTCTGGCAAAGGCTTTTAACTTCTTGTTAAGACCTGTAAAAATAGGGATAGAAATACATATCTCATAGTTTGGGTCTGGTGATTAAATAAGATAAGGTAGAGAACCCCTCCCCACTAGCCTGCAGTAGTTCAAATACCAGCTCCCCTAACTCGAGGGCCTGAGTTGTTTACATGCTGCAGTCGCAGTTGTTTTTTGGAGAATCCCTCCAACCGGCCAGACTAGGAAAACAGTAATGTTCCCCTAAAGCCTTGGTCACAGCGGTCAATACCATAAACATTCACTAACTTACATGTGCTTCCATGGACTTGGAGTCAACAGCAGAAGCAACTGACATATGGCGGGACTCCCAGTGAGCAACTGTGATGGGAAAGTACTTGACAATAAGCTCTGATCCTTACCACTTCACGCTTTTCCACTTCAAACCAGCGGGAAATTCCAGGTAAACTCTGCACCAAGTATAATGATGTTCTCTCCACCCAGAGACTCTACGGAATACAAAACAAATTAAATCCCCAAGTGTCCCTTCTTTCTAGTTACTGAGCTATGACTAATGTTTGCCATCAATTTGGTCAGGTTTGCTGATTTCTGGAAGCTTTTCCTTAGTATTCATTCTAGCACGTGGGCAATCCCTTCACACTCAAGAAGTTACCACGTAAGGTATAGCTGAAGCTAGGTTAATAATTCCATTCTATGTTGTCTGACACTTTTTCCTGTGTGCAATAAGTGATCTACTTCAGACAACAAGCTTAAAATAGAGTAACAGGCCATCCCATTATTGCCTTTGCAATTTCTTTCAAATTCCAATTTAAACTCTCTTCACTCCTTCAGGTCTTGGGGCTTGTCATTTCTATCTGGAAGGGGTAATAGCATCAGCTAGTCAACACAGGATCAGAATAACAACATCCCAAAGGAGGAAAGGCCCAGGAGGAATCATGGAGCTCCATCTTTCTATTTTAAAGATGAAGACGCTAAGCATCAAGGAGGCAACGTGACCTGCTCAGAGGTATATTCTAGTCACCTGTAGAGCCAGCACAGACCCGACCTACTAGAACTTCTGACTTCCTCACCATGCCACACTTCCTCATGCACGTTTGAACTGCCACCACCCAAGAGGATCTGTATTTAAAGAGCGGAGGCTTCCCCTGGTCAGGAAGAGCATCCCCATGACACATGAAGGCATGGCCGCCTTGATAAGAGCAGCTGTTGGATGACAGATTTCACCTTCGTCAACCATGTTTCTGTACCCGTGCCTCATTTTTCTTAAACAAAGTATATTCTCAAGAGAATGATATACTTTACAAAATCCCTGAATGAATGCCACGTATTCAACAACAACAAAAAACAGGAGGATTTCTTCGTGTCAGCCAAGATCTACTGAAACCGACTGGGCAGAGTCCCTGTGACAGTGGCTGGAAGCCTTCTGGTGGTGACAAGGAGGTAAGCAGGTATGGAAGGGCTCAGGGCAAAGAGAAAGGCATGCTGGAAGTGCTGGGGGAAGCAGAAGGAAGGAGGCAGGCACCTCATTCTGTGGGAGGAGGACAGCACTTTTCAGAGGAGGTGACACGTGAGTGGAATGCTGAAGAGTGAGTAGGAGTTTGCCAGGCGGAGGAAGGGGGGGGAGCGCTGCAGGCAGCAGGAAGCAGCCTGCGCTGAGGCCCCGATTGCTTGCGAAAAGGGCATGGCAGGAGATGAAGAAGAGAAGTTCAATGTTGCGGGAGCTGAGAGGAGGGTGAGTGGGCGGGCTGTGGCGCAGATGAGGCTTCCGGAGGGGCAGTTTGGAGCCAGATGCCAAGGGCTGTCGGCACAGGAAGCAGGAGCCAGATTTATCATCATTTTCTAGGAGGACTGCTATACCACGGATAAATACTTAAAGTGATAGCCATGAGGAAAGGTGGTGCAGCAGAAAATGCAAAGGAGAAGATACCAGAAGGTGTAGGGTGTATGGGTAATGAGAACGTGACTCTGAGCAAGTCAGCTGCCTGACTCCAGTGGATCTCTGACTTGTTCAGTGTAAACAACTGCAGTGAAAACCATAGCATAAACCAACGATCACTAATTGGTTTGGGGAGACGCTAACAAAAATTGAAGTATCCAAAAGGACTAGAAAATGCTCATGGATCTTTTCAGGAACCTCCCAGTTCTGTCTTCCCATAGTTTCTTTGCCTTGATATTTAAGCCATCAGACCTCTTTGCACAGAGGACGGCTGTGTTGAGGGCCATCATAACACTGCAGAATGGCCATGCCTAATTCCTGGAGCTACTGCTGGGCACACTGAGAACTGGCACTTAGGCAGAGGCCACAAGGGGAATTAACATCAGACAGTCATTGCTAACAGTATCAGGAGAATGTTTCCCAGCTTAAAGAGACACTCTGTGATGAAAGAAGCCAAGCCAAATAACCCACAATAATAGGTTTGTTTTGCATTCTTTGTATGGGGGGAAATAGTGACTAACAGAGATCTATCTGGTCTTGCCTTGTCAGTGTCAAGGAAAGAGGAGACTATAATGTGTCTGTGGGACCATCCTGCCCCTTTCCCCCTGTGGAGCTGAGAGACAGCCAGAGGGAGCTCTGGACGGTAAGGCATATTGCAACTACTCACAATGGACTGGCACATGCAAGGAGTCTATGGTTTGCTTTTATCCTGTGTGTCTTCTCACAAGTCCTAATGACACATCATTCTAACAAGAAAAAGCAGAAGATCACATAGAAATTTCCTGCTGCTCCCAGTCTCCGAATCTTCTTTTCCCCTATTGATTAAGCATTCTTCACTCACTGTGGTCTGTGGTATCTCAGAACAAATATTCTGAGGTCCCCATAGTTGGTTCCGTATGAATGAATGAGAGGGCTGAGCTCAATCATGACATCTCCGAGGCTGGTCTGAGGACTACCGGCACGGTCACAAAAAAAGCTGCTTCCAGGGCTTCCTCTCAGACCTACTGAGTCAGGATTCCTGACTCTGATTTCTGACTCAATCTGATACACAGAAGAATTTGAGATCAACAAGACTAAATGATTTCTCCTCCCTTCTGGTTCTATCACCTGACTCTATTCTGAGTAAATATTTATCGAGCGGCTTGTCCCAAGATTCTCACAGGAAACCACATGTAATAGAACTGCACGATACCTTGAATTCATTCTCTTTATCTTTGGTGCCCTTGTGAAATGGTCTGTCATAGCGGAATTTCCAGATATGATTCACTTTATAGAAACTTTTGATGTTGTCCGGAACACCCTCTCTCTGCAGGACCTCCTGGCTCTCCGGAATGGGAGTAACAGCATATATCTGTAAATCTAGGATTAAAAAGTCAAGGAGGAAACCCAACTTGGCAAACTCGGTGGAAATCTGGCTTGAGCTGAGCTGTGGCAGAGAGAAGAGGATGGGTAACAATCTGGTGTTTCCATTGGTTCGAAATCGTTTTAAAAATTGCTAGGAAGGTGCCAAGAACTCAGTTGACAACAAATCATTTCTCAAACTGCAGGCCTTGAACTAGTTTTAGGTAGGTGATTCTGACAAAGTATCTGTTTAAAATGTCTATAACTTGTGAATTTATTTATCACTGATTTGTTTGTTTTCTTTTTTTTTTTTTTTTTTTTTTTTTTTTTTTTTTTTGGTGGGGGTGAGTGGCTATGGCTTGGATCTTAGGTACTTAGAATTACATTAACTGTAATCCTTGTTTAAGAGACACTCTTATCCTTAGTCTATGCATGTCCCCTCTTCATTTGTTTGTATAATAATGTATAAATACCCATGCAACCATGACCAAAGACAGGAACCCATTGTGACAGTGATTTATATTTACCTGTGTGATGCTCCGTGTCTCCAGCCTTCCCACACTTAAGCTATCACTCTCCCAAATCTTCTACTGATAAGCAGAGTGTTGTTGGTGTAGTTGATATTTAAAAAATTACATTAGAGGGGTATCATATTTACGTGTATGTTTTACACCTTCTTCTCTTTTCATCCTAAGAAGGACAGCAAAATCTTTTCCCTTATGGAATTTCTTGCTTCTATTGCATTTTATTTTCTACTTTGAAATGGTATCCATAATTATCAGTGGGAGTTTCTTGTCTTCTTTATGAACATAAGTTTCAGGAAGACAGAAGCCATCACACAGGAGTGCTGGGGTGAATTCCCTTTGTCTCTAATGCCTGTGTAATTTCATTTGGATTGCTTGTATTTAGACAATGGGAGTTTCAATTACACAGCCATCACTAAAGGCTGTCCAGGATGCCATGGCTAAGAGTTCCCCCAAAGACACTAAGTAAGGTACCTTGTTTCCTTCCTTCCAGGATAAAAGTATCACAGGAAAAGGGGGTGAATGATATGTGCCAGTAAATATAACACTATCATTTCCTCGAACTGAAGCAGTTTCCACAGGATATGTTGGAGGAAAATTATTCTAAGGGAGATCACTAAAAGGAGCTTTAAAAGCAGGTGAGACACAGAAAAGTTTTAATTGAAAGGAAAAAATTCTTTACCAGAATCCTTAAGGGATTTCCTTTCAACTGACATTGTGATAATAACCAGAACATTCTGTTCAGAAGGAGCTAAGCTGACATCAAGGTGATGAGAAGGAGAGAGAGTGAGAACATGGCTATGGCAGAGGGGGCCAGAGGCTGAACAGCCTTGCACGAAAATGCGCTGCGGCTAACGGCCAGCGGCTCTAACTGCACTCACTGCAGCCCCTCCTAGGTGTGGATACACTGAGCTTCCGCCTGGAAGATGGTCTCATCAGGCTGGTTGGCGTGCTGCATGGCGATGGCGTGGGGGAACTCATTCAGCATTCTCTGTTGGAAGGCCTCCAGCCTTTCGTAGTCATGCCCTCGACACACAAACTCCTTATTCTGCAGGAGAAATAAAAAAAAAGAAATTAGAGCCATATAATCGAGTGCATTAATTACAGAGAGAAGCCAAAAAATAGGGCACTGGCAGTAAGGGAGCATATGCCTCACATCAATAGACTGTCACAACAACAACAAATCTAAAACACTGACACAGTCTGAAAAATTTTCCCAGATATGAAAAATGCAGGGCAAGGATCATGAGCTTCACTTTCTACTGCTTTTGATGAGACTCAGTAGTATGTGCCAAGCTTGTGTGCATGAGGTGCAAAGAGGCATCTGATTCTCAGAGCACCGAAGTATAAAACAAAGCAATCATGTTCTCTCTGAATGCTAATGAGCACATGTGTTAAAGATTTTTTTT